GCCGTTCACGACGCGCGGAGCGTCGAGGTTGCGCATCAACACGACCGGGGCGCCGACCTTGACCTGAAGTCGATGCGACGGCATGCCCGACACGTCGATCGCGTTGAGCACCTCGGTGGGCACCGGAGGCCCGTGATCCTCGTTGTCGTCGTCACTGATGGTGTCGACGCTAGCGTACGTGACTGTTTCGCCGGGCAGAAGGGCCAGCGCGGCCTCATTCGCCCTGTCAACGGTCGCATTTAGCGGCGAGAGGATGGCGCGCTCATGCAGCCACTCTTCATCACGGTGTCGCCCGGCCATGTCAGGGAAAATGCGATCGACCAAGGCGGCGAGACTGCGCGCCGGACTGACCACCAACTCGGGCACCTGCACCGAGTCCGGCTGTGCCACGACGGGCAGCCGGCCGTCGCCGACGCGCAGCAGGAAGTTGGCGAACTCACCGGCCTGATCGTCGCCGTTCAACGCCCGCATGTTGGTCGCGAGCTCCATGGTGTCGATCCGAGGCCACATGGGCGATGACTTGAGGCAGGCGTCAACAACCTCTGCGCGCCCGCCGCGCTTCACCACTGGCAGGATCTGTCTCCAGTCGCCAGAGAGCAGCGTCAGAACGCCGCCAAACAGCTCTTGCCTGTCGCGGACGTCTTGGAGAGCCCGGTCGACCGCCTCAGTGGCGCGCCGGTTCGTCATGGCCGCTTCGTCCCATACAATGAGGCGACAGCGGCGAAGGTAGTCGGCCTCGGGAGAGCGGCGATCAATGCCGCAGACGTTCTCGTTGTCAGGATGCAGCTGCAGAGGGATCTTGAACCGATGATGGGCAGTCGTGCCGCCCTCCAACAGGCTGGCTGCGATGCCGGATGTGGCCACTGCAACTGCCACGTGTCCCCGGCTGCGCACCTTGGCCAGCAGCAGGTTCTCCAAGAACGTCTTCCCGCAGCCGCCTGGAGCTTGCAGGAAGATGACACCCGACTCGTCATTGTCCAGCCGTCGCAGCACCTCGTCATAGACGGCGCGCTGGTCATCCGTCAGACGCGGCTCGTCGCGCTCAACGCGATCGGCCAGAGCGGCCGGGTCGTACTCGGGACCGCCGGGCGGCTCGTCGTCGTCGCCATCGGCGGCGGCGGCGGCGTCCGGCACCGGCGGCACCGGCAGTCCGTACTCCGCCAGAGATCTGCCGCGCAGCCGGCGGAGAATGCCAGCGATCTTCCGCAGCGCCTGCTGGCGCACTTCGTCCTCGGTGAGACCACGTCTGCCAGCCGCGCGAGCGGTGCGCTGACGGCGAGCGATGTCCTCGGACAGGGCGTCCGCGAACCTCATCCACAGCGCCATGGGATCGCACGTAGCCTCTCCCTCGATCAGAATCAGAGCGAAGAGGAAACGCAAACCACCTGCAAAGCGCGTCACACTCGCCTCCTCCAGTGCGCGCGCCCAGTGCGCTCCGTCCTCGAGCAGCCCCAGTGCGGAGCACGCCTCGCGCATGGTGGCACACACGCGGCCATCGACCGTGCGGAGGTGCTCGTAAGAGCGCGGACCTCGGACGCTGTGAAGGAGCAGGCGAAGAAAGAAAACTTCGCCCGCGCGCGGCGTCGTGGTGTACACGCGCGACAGAGTCTCAGAGGCAACCACGCCCGGCACCTCGGGGTGAGGCTGGCCACGGACGCGGCGTTTCCAGTGGGCCGGACGGGCGTCTGCGCCCCGGCCGCGTCGCACCTGCCACGTGTAGTATCGCGGCACCTCTGGGTAGAGGAGTGTCGCCGCGAACGCGTCACGCTGGCACAGCTCAAAGAAGGCTGTGAGCATGGATGGATTAGCCTGCTCGCCCGCGATGACCGCTTCCAGGTTTTCGTCGCCGCGGAACACGACACGTCTCTCGTCGTCACCGAGATGCAGCTGCAGCCGCTGGACCGGCGGATGATGGACGTGGACTGGTCGGTCGAGCAGCCGCCACGCTGCCTCCATGGATCCCAGGTACCGGCTGTTCTGATACTGGGTCACCTCGTCAACCACGCCGTCGGGCTGCACGGCGAACATGATCCTATCCGAGCCCTTGGTGACGTACTTGATGCAGTAGCGGATCGCTCCCATCGCGTGCGTGATCAGCTCGACGTTGACGTGTGAGTCCAGCGCGCGAAGGATGTGCGGATTGTAGGGAACGATCCAGCGGTTGTCGATTTCCACACCGCGCCGTCCGGGCGTCCGCGCACGTTGACCGCCGTCCTCCGGCGCGCGCCGCCTGTACTTGGGATAGCTGCGCTCTGGCAGCTCTGTGGCCTCCAGATACGGGCGCGGATAGCCGACGCTACAGCGGCCGTCCTTCATGCAGACCGCCTGCGGGTTCAGCGCGCCGCACGGACCATGCACCATCTTGGTGCAGACGATCGCGTGCAGTTCCGGATCGGTCTCGGGATCTGGCAGCTCAGCGCACACGCACGTGTCCACGTCTTCGGCGCGAGGTTTGTCGGCGGGCACGACCCACAGCAGAAGGTGAGCGTGCGGCAGGCCACGCTTCTGCCACTCAATCGTGTGCAGAATGGCCCGCTGTCGACCCAGGATGCCGCCCCGCAGCTGCTTCAGCAGCGCCTGCAGCTTGAGGTCAAACACCTGACTGACAACGTCAGGGTGGTCGCACGGCCGATCGTAGTCGCCCGGCCTCTCTCCCGGGTAGAGGGTGCGCAGAGTTTGCTCAATCTCTGGCCAGGCCGGGTTGCACGTCACGGTGATGAAAAAGTCGGCGGCGCCAAAGTCTCGAACGTAGCAGAGAGCGTCTTGTAGTTTGGCCATCATGAAGCGCGGACTACTCGTTACGGATGCCGGCAGCACCACGCGCCGTCCGACGGCTCGGCCGTGCTCCTCGCCGTCAGCCAGCGCGTCTCGCACGCCGCGGATGGTCTCGGCGCGGAAGCCGTTGAAGCCGTCCTGGTTCGCGCGCACATACGACAGACGACTCGACTCAGCTTTTGCCTCAGTGTCCACCAGGTACTGTTGAAACAGCCGGCCCCCTCGCGGAATGAGATTGAAATGACCCGGTCGGAAGCGCATGTGGAACGCACCATACTGACGGATTGTGACGCCGCGCTCGGCCTTCAGCTCGAGCGACCACCCGTCCGTGCCGCGCGGGTGCAGCAGCACATAGAGCAGCGGGTCGTACTGGCGGCTCAGTTCGTCGATGCGGAACAGTTGTCCGCCGCGCTCGCGAACGACGATGTCGCGCCGGCCCCCCATCTCATTGGGCATCAGGACCGCCACTTCGCGACCGATCGGTAGATTGAACCGGCGCTCGTGCTCCGACAGCGGCCGGTGTTCGGCCGACAACACGATCCGGCAGTTCGGCACACCGCGCGCCATCAGCAGAGCCGGCTGGAGCGCACGCACGTAGTTGTTGTGCTCGTGCAGCATGCCCAAAAGGATGTCGAGAACGGCTCTGTCGAGGCCGCCACACATGGTGGCACGTCGCGCGGTGGCCTCGTCTGCGTCGAGGAAATACACCTGCATGAACTGCTCCTCGCCGCCGCGAGCGGGCAGTAGAGATCCCATACGATGACACACGCTACCCTGAACGGTGAAAGCCGCGTGATACGCCCCGTCGTGTCGGACGACGTTGCACCCCATACTGGCCAGCTGGAAGGCCGTGTTGTAAGCGCGAATTTTGCCCCGAAACTCGTCATAGAACGCCGTGCCGGGGGTCATCAGCTCCACCATCTCGTCCGGCGGCGGGGGATGGAAGTCAAGCTGCACCTTGCCCTGATGGCAACAGGCGCCTGCGGGCTCGGCACGCCAGCGCAGCGCTCCACAATGGGCACAGACGGTGTCCATTCGGCCCAGCTGCATGCCAGCCGGCGGCTCGAACTCGGCGGGGACATAATTGCGAGCCAGCAGGTGCTGGTCGCCTCGACGACGGGCGGGCGCGTCCACCGGAGCCTGTCCATCAGCGCCCCCCACTGCCTCCGCGTCGTGCGCATCGGCCGCGGGCTGGCGGGCCGCTGCGCCGTCTGGCGCATCGACCGCTGCCGCCTCCACAGCGTCTACAGCATCATCGGGCGTGTGGGGCGCCTCCTCTCCTACAGCGCCGCCCACTGCCTCCGCGTCGGGCGCATCGGCCGCGGGCCGGCGCGCCGCTGCGCCGTCTAGCGCATCGACCGCTGCCACCTCCACAGCGTCTACAGCATCATCGGGCGTGTGGGGCGCCTCCTCTCCTACAGCGCCGCCCACTGCCTCCGCGTCGGGCGCATCGGCCGCGGGCCGGCGCGCCGCTGCGCCGTCTAGCGCATCGACCGCTGCCACCTCGACAGCGTCTACAGCACCATCGGGCGTGTGGGGCGCCTCCTCTCCTACAGCGCCGCCCACTGCCTCCGCGTCGGGCGCATCGGCCGCGGGCCGGCGCGCCGCTGCGTCGTCTGGCGCATCGGCTACTGTCGCCTCGACAGCATCTACAGCACCATCGGGCGAGTGCGTTGCCACCTCTCCTACAGCGCCGCCCACTGCCTCCGCGCCGGGCGCGACGTCCGCGACACCGCCCACCACCGGCGGTTCAAACGCAGTCGGTGGTGCGATCGGCTGATCCGCCACACCAGCAGCAACAGGTGGCTCAAGACCTGCGCCGTCTCTCCCTGTCCTGACCTTAGTGCGAGCCGTAGCCATTCTCTCACGATTGCGTCGCTGACGCTCGGCGAGCTCAGCCTCCGATTCACGCTCCCTCCTAAGTCGATGACGCTCCCGGTCACGCTCGCGTCGCGCGGCAGCGATATCCGCGGCAAGGATGACCGGCGGCTGGGCCCCCGATGGACCGGGAACCGGCACTGCATCGACTACCGCCTGATGGGAAGGGCCCGCGCCACCTGTCTGATCTCTTTGTCTAGCGCGCGCCAGAGCCTGGCCTTCACGTTTACGTTGCAGGCGAAGAAGTCGCTCAGCCTCAGTTTCTCGCTCTCGGGCGAGGCGACGACGCTCGCGATCACGCGCCCGTCTCGCGGCCGCGGCGTTCACCGTCGGATCTACGGACTGACCGTTACGTTGACCGTTTGCGGGTTCAGCTGCATCGCCATCGACCATCAGACCGTCAGCGCGCCGTGCCACCGTCTCCGGCGCTGGCCCCGGAGGGTCGGCGGCGGTCGGGCGACTCGGCGACGTTGGCGGAGGTGTTTGACCCGACATTGCGAGCAATTCTGGAAATGGAACAAAGGAACGGGATTACAATCGGAATCTGCTAGGAGGAGGCAAAAGGGTAATACTGTTTGAAATTGTTTTAACGGACTTTCACTGGATAGTGGGTAAAAGTTATTATTGGTCCCGTTCGATGGGGCACACATAGGTTTAAAACAGACAAAAATCAGGTAGCCATTTTTCGCAACACATCAATCAAATTTCTAAATATCCAGCACGTGACGCACAACTTGCCTATTCTCATATGTAAAACATAGCCAATAGGTACACTTCCTCTTCCAAAGAAAAACTACTGTTTTAGAGCACTGTCCCATATGGGGCTAAGCGAGAATTTACCCACGCCCTGGTTTAAAGACGGATTGCACACTCGAATTTCGATCGCTTCTCTAACCACACGGCGACCCCATGTCGGCTCCACAGCTGCAGTGCTGGCCTGCCTCGGGTCGAACTGCCGCCCACACTGTAGCCATTCAAAGCATTTAACCAAATCCATCAGGCACTACTACCACATGACTCACCCCAGTTCAAATGGTTAAAATTCAAAATTCGGGTCGGGTCGGGTCGGGTCGGGTCGGGTCGGGTCGGGTCGGGTCGGGTCGGGTCGGGTCGGGTCGGGTCGGGTCGGGTCGGGTCGGGTCGGGTCGGGTCGGGTCGGGTCGGGTCGGGTCGGGTCGGGTCGGGTCGGGTCGGGTCGGGTCGGGTCGGGTCGGGTCGGGTCGGGTCGGGTCGGGTCGGGTCGGGTCGGGTCGGGTCGGGTCGGGTCGGGTCGGTCGGTCGGTCGGTCGGTCGGTCGGTCGGTCGGTCGGTCGGTCGGTCGGTCGGTCGGTCGGTCGGTCGGTCGGTCGGTCGGTCGGTCGGTCGGTCGGTCCTGCTGACCGATATCTTTTTCAAGATCACATTAGTGCCTGCAATCCACAACTACCACGCCTCTGCCATTATCAATTTTTTGTTAGAATATTATTTTTTACCACACCTCTGCCATTATCAATCTTTGTTAGAATAATATTTTTTAAGCTTTTCATTTAAACTCAAAGCATTTAACCAAATCAATCAGGCACTACGGGATTACAATCAGAATCTGCTAGGAGAGGGCACATGGGTAATACTGTCTTATCAATAGACAAACACCAAACACAATCCATCTGCCAGCGTCAGTTCTTTATGTTAGATTATAATAATTTTATAATTTTAATTACAGATTTAAGTATTTAGTTATAACAGTCTGGCGCACTACCACAATGCTGCTAGCCTGAGTTCAAACACAGAGATGAATTTCAAATTCAAGCAATAATTTAGCACCATAGCAGCCACCTTTGCAATGATATATCAATTCTTTATTAGAATGTTATTTTTAAGCCTTTCATTTACATTCAAAGCATTTAACCAAATCAATCAGGCGCTACTACCACATGACTCATCCCAGTTTAAATAGTTAAAATTCAAAATTAGTTGAGTCGAGTCGAAAAACAACAGGTGGTCCTAACTTCGCTCTTTCAAGAACATTATGCAATCAGCTGACAGCTGATTGCAGCTGTTGCTATATCAACACTGTTTACAGATGTAATAAAGGTAGAAAAATAGCCAACAACTCACATCTAGCACCTAGCCCCTAGAGAACATCTACTGTGCAACCTACGTTTCAATGACGGATGCAGTCACACACTGACATATAGATCGAAAATGTCATGTTTTTCCTGCTATCACTGCCTTATGCAACCTCCAAACACTGAAGAAATTCAGTAATTTAAGAGAGAAAAGAAAAAAAACTCATCCTCCAAGTTCCAAAAGTGACACCACACATCAAAACTCACAATACATTTTACACAAACATTTTATGTACCAAACCACCACCCCGAGCAAGGTAAGGTTGAGTTATGTTAGGTCAGATTTGGTCAAGACAGGTTACGTTCTGCAAATTTAAATTAGGTCCAGCTTCTATAGCAACTGATGACTGACTGGAGAGAACCAAAATGTCTCCTGTCTAACAGGAAATTTTTGCACAAATGTGCCAAAAAAAGAACAGGCAGCCCTATCTTTGTACTTTGAAGTAAATCATGCAGTTAGCTGAGCGCTGCAGCTCCAACTACCTTTTCCACCCTTTGCAAAGCACAAACTGAATGAATTCAGGCAATAAAATATGAAAACATCCTTCTAAGATTGGAAAATAACATCACGCATTGATACTCACAATACTTTTTATTTAAAAAAAATATTTATGACTCACCTGACCATACGCTGGGCCAAATAAGGCTTAGTTACATTGGGAATGGCAAGGTCATATTAGAAGGGAAGGGTTCAGCTTTTGCATTTCTGCTGACGCCACACCTGTTCTGTTGGTTTTATGCACATTTAGAGCCCTGGGTTCAGAGGGCGGCTTTAAATGTCTCCTGTCTAACAGGAAATTTTTGAACAAATGTGCCAAAAAAGGAGCAGGCAGCCCTATCTTTGTACTTTGAAGTAAATCATGCAGTTAGCTGAGCGCTGCAGCTCCAACTACCTTTTCCACCCTTTGCAAAGCAGAAACTGAATGAATTCAGGCAATAAAATATGAAAACATCCTTCTAAGATTGGAAAATAACATCACGCATTGATACTCACAATACTTTTTATTTTAAAAAAAATATTTATGACTCACCTGACCATCCGCTGGGCCAAATAAGGCTTAGTTACATTGGGAATGGCAAGGTCATATTAGAAGGGAAGGGTTCAGCTTTTGCATTTCTGCTGACGCCACACCTGTTCTGTTGGTTTTATGCACATTTAGAGCCCCGGGTTCAGAGGGCGGCTTTAACCTGCTAGGTAACTGCTTTTCAAGTTCCTAACATCACGTTTCACCATCACCATATTAAAAAAGTTCAAAATGTTTTAAGCAGCAGACTAATAAAAACTGGCAAAAACTAAACTTTTGCTTCAAATTGTTTCATGAGGCAAAATATTAGGATAAATCACTTCAATTAAAGGCAATCATGCACGCGCCACGTTAGCCGCGCCACTTGCATTTTTCGTAATAAATAAGCCTTTATGCACCAAAACCACCTTTGAAAAATCATCCCAGTAATTAACAACAGCTCTCAAGGTCAATTGGCATTCATATGTAATCTTAACACCCTCCAAATTCAAAATGTTTTATCTAAATCATTGTGACGCATCCACCACCAAGCTCACCTCGGTCCAAACACAACGGCCGATTTAGTGATGAATATTAAGCGTATTAAAAGAAATGCCTATTTGAAGGAGTTCATGAATACTTTGTTACACAGAAATGCTTGCCATATTTTTCTACTTTTTTAGAGCTAAACTATGTCTTACTTTGCAGTCCCTCTATCGTATTATGGTATGTAACTATAGTGACGCAGTTTGCTCTCCGCAGCTGGAGCAAACATTTGTCGAACCCGGTTCTGACGGAAATCGTACGATTAGAGATTTTCGAGTCCTACTTGCAAAATGTTTTACCTATTATTTGTATCATGTTTTTCGATCGTCCCTCAATCAATTCCACCCTCTGTCGGCCCCAACTTACCTGAATTTTTGGCGAGTCCGGGCTCGTCCGGTGACGAAAACCGGCCGATCTAGTACGGGCGGACGCCGGCGCCGCGGCCGAGCAGACGGCCCGTCACGGAAGTTGCAGACGGGAGATGATCGGCATAAAGCGCTCGTGTATCTCGGCAGCATCGTGTATTGAGAAAAAAAAGACGATTTCACGATTTATAAATGCGTTACGCTTATCATATGTACATGCACATTGCACACCGGCGCCGGGCCGGCCGGTGGAATTTTCCAGCCGTCGGCCGGTAATTTTTCTCCGGAACTGGAGGGACCGCCATCGAGTTTGTCACGTGAATCAGCCGCATTCCTGTGTGGCGCGCAATGCTGAAGAGATATGTGTTTCCGCGGGTATCTCGCAGGCCCTAACAGGAAAAGCTCGCTGCAAAAACTCAGCGCTTCAAAAAACCCGCAATCCTACTCAAATGGATATTTAAACAAGATATCTTGGCTCGCTCCGCGTCGCTTTGGCAATCAAAGTATGAGGGAGAAAATTTGGGATCGATTGGTGTTCGTCCCGTGTTAATCGGACGTCTAGAAGCTTAGATATTCACGAAAAACTTGTTGAACTTGCAAAAGTACTTGGTACTTGCTTGGTACTTGCCAAAGTACTCGGTACTTGCCAAAGTACTTGGTACTTGCTTGGTATTTGCATAAGTACTCGGTATTTGCCAAAGTACTTGGTACTTGCTTGGTATTTCCATAAGTACTTGGTACTTGCTTGGTACTTGTAAAAGTACTTGGTACTTGCTTGGTACTTGCGAAAGTACTTGGTACTTGCACTCGCCCCCCCCCGTTCCCCCGACTCTACTCCCACACCTACCCCCTCGGGATAATTCCGGGTTCGTCGGGTAGGAAAACTTGCCACTCTACCCTCCCCCCCCCCACACACAGAGCCATTTGGTATCGATCGGTGTTTATCCCGTGTCAATCGGTCGTCAATAAGCCGAGATATGCACGGCGAATTATTTCAATCGGCGTCGATCAGAATCTTCAGAACGGAGGGACCCACACTCATTTCTGGCCGTATCTCACTTTTCCGAGATAGTACGTCAAACTACGTATTTAAAACTACATATTCTACAGGCCGAATCTTCAAACTGGGGGTACCTCAGACCGTGGGAACGACTCGGCTTAGCACTGCCGCACGCGCGTTCAGCGGCGGGTTGTCGATTTTTCGAGTGTCGGCACCTGTCAGCCGCCGCTCGGCTCTGTGTTAAGCATATGGGGACGGCGAATTTCTCCCGGAGGGAAGCACCTCGCTCACTAAAGCACGTGAATCAGCCGCATTCCTGTGTGGCGCGCAATGCTGAAGAGATATGTGTTTCCGCGGGTATCTCGCAAGCCCTAACAGGAAAAGCTCGCTGCAAAAACTGACCGCTTCAAAAAACCCGAAATCCTACTCAAATGGATATTTAAACAAGATATCTTGGCTCGCTCCGCGTCGCTTTGGCCATAA